GAGGCGGGAAAAGCAGCAGCCCTAAACCCATGCATGAGTCAAACCAGAAAGCGGTGAGACCTTTGCCTGTACAAAGGAACCAGCTCCCAGAGGAGGGCTAGTTTGAGCTGCCCCTGCCCAGGACTTGAGAGCCGGTTTCGCTGGGGGCAGGGAGTCAGCCGGGTGCTTTTCTGAGGAGATGCAGTCGGAGCCTGGGCACCAGCCTATGGCCTAGAACTCTCACAGTTTCGGGGCCAAATTCAGGGCACGTGTGTCTGTTTGCCAGGACTGCTGCTGTAGCCCTCAGCAGGCAGCTGCTGGTCTCCCTGGGGACAAAAGGGTGAGGGACCAACTTGTATTGGCCCCTCATCTGATGGCAAGAGCAGCTGTCCAGCCACACCGAGCCCATCCCTGCGGCCCTGGCCCTTGCTGTGACATGGAGCAGCTGTTCCAGACAGGAGGAGGGAGCTCCATGGAGCTGGAAAGCCTCTGTCTCTCTCACCACCAGAGAGGGGCCAACGGAAGCTGCTTCCTCAGCTACCTTGTGTCTCCCCTCTGGGGAGGACACAGCTGGAACGGTCTACGTGAGACTTCCATGGGCAAGCCACCCTTTCCAGGGTGCCTGCAGTGCCCCGACCTCCCCAGTAGGGGGCAGTCTGCTCCCAGAGACGTGCCCTGACAAACACGTTTTAGGCCGTGAAGGGGGGCTGCTGGCGGCAGGGGAGGTGCCGGCCTCGCTGGGTTTCTGGGGGCAGGGGGTCAGTCTGGCTGCAGTGGCACTAGGGGACCAGGCCTTGAATTTAATATTTGAGGCGCACCAAGCGCTCCAGAAACCCAACGGGCTTGGTGTGGGAGTGGCCGGTTCCTTTGTCCGGGGGGAGGGCAGGGTTCTAGCTAATGCGGTGGCCGATTCTGAAGTCCGGGAGGCAGAGCTGAAGGGGCAGTTAAAAGCAGGTTAAATCATGGGGGGGCAGGGGGTAGTTGTAAAAGGAACAGAGGGAGAAGGCCAGATTTATTTTTCTTCTCTCCGCCCACGGCCAGGCGATCACAAGCCCTGCTTGGCCAGGGACGCAGACACTTCGTCAGCTAGTGTGGCAAGCTGGGGGGAGTCCACCATGTTGATGCTGCCAGTGGAGGAGACGTTGCTAAGGCGACGGGGGGAGGCATCTCCGGAGACGGTGGGGGACTTGTAGACGATTTCGGCTCCGTGGTCAGTCTTGGCTTTGGCATTCTCGCGGAAAGTCAGCTTGTGAGACTCGATCTGCACAGAGAGGAGGCAGAGGGTGAGCCCCGGCATGGGGGGGAGGGGAGAGGTTGGGTCTAGCCCACGTGAGAGGCCTTTTAAAACGGGTAAGTGAACACTCGGTCCCCACGGGCCAGCCCAGGGCCGCAGCTAGAAGGAAGCAGGTGAACGGAGACCAAGCACAGCACCTTCTATTCCAGTTCCAGTCCTGAGACAGGGCGAAGCCGGGAGGAAGCCCTTGGCCAGTAATGGATCGATGCCTCATGCAGATGGACCAAGCCCCGGCCTCGCAGGACTCGGCTATGCCAGATGGATGGGGATTAGAGAACCCGGATCGGCAGCTCGGGGGCAGACGCTGTGGGCTTCCCCGCATGGCTCAGGTTTACAAAAGTGAGGTGTCTGAGCCTGCCCCCAAATGCCCCTTGGAAACGCTTTGTCGTGGGGCAAGCCACAGGGCCGGCTGCGGGTTAAGGCCAATGGGGAAAACTCATGAGAGGAGGCAGGACCAGGACATCACAGGAGCTGCCTGCCTGCCTGCCCTACCACGTGGGAACAGCGCCGACGGAGCAGGGGACAGCCCTGTCCCTGCCCAGGGGTCGGTTCCCATCATTGGCAAAACGTGATGGGGCTGTCACCCCCGTGGCCGATCCCGTGGAGAGCGCAGCTGCCGAACACGTCCAGGCGGCTCCGCCGGGACGGCCAAGGCTTGCGAGAGCCCAACCCCCCTCTGCGGACACGCGAGCTCCAAGTGGGAAGCTAAGTGGCTACTTACTGGCATCGCCATCTGGCTGCGAGCAGGGGAGCGGGCTCTCCTCGGGGATGGAGGCCTCAGAGAGCACTGACTGAGGCCCTGCACTGGGGGGGCTCTGACACACACCGTGTGGTGCACCGCTCTCCTCTTCCTTGCCCTTCTCTCTCTACAAGGTGGAGAAATCGGTGGGGCACAAAAGTGCATCAGCAACCAAATCCAATGAGTGCAAACCTACATCAAAGAGAGGGGGAGGGAGGGGAGGACAGGAAGAGAGCGGCAAGCCACGCCCAAGGAGAGCAGGGAACGTTCTCGCGGCTCGTAGAGAGCGAGCGCACACGACAGGGCTGGAGCTAGGTGGGAGGAGGAAAGCCTCCCCCCTTGGCCAGGAGAAAGGAGACGCCCGGAGAAACGAGCCAAAGCAGATGCACAGGGAGAAATGCAATTGTAGCCAGAGCTGTACCAGGAGCCCGGAGGTCTGCGGTGCTGACAGCGGTCAGGAATCAGCCCCCGGACATGTCCCTGGCTAGGCCTATGCTTGCAGCAGCATGTACAGCCTTTCCTCTCGGCCACAGCCTCTTGCTGCAGCATGGAGCTGTACGCCCCAAGGCGAACGCCGGCTGCTCTTCACAGCAGCCTGACTCCACGGAGCGTAGACAGGGCCTCTGGGCTGGCCCGGGGGAGCGAGCACCATTGCTGATGATCGTATTCAAAGGACAATTGCAGAGGGCACGGACCACGTCCAAGCTGACAGGAAGCAACAGGGGGCTGGGACCCTGTTGGCCCTCAGAAGCGGAAGGGCTGGGACAGCCCGAGAACACCCTGCGGTCGCCAAGGGGGTGTCTACTCTGCAGCCAGAGAAGTGACTCTAGCTGAGCTAGCAAGAATGAAGCCAGCCTGAGCGGAAGGTCACCGCAAAGGCCAAACGAGGCAGAGTGAGGTGCACCCCAACAAGGCGGGTGTGTGCCCCGGGGCCCAGCTGGACTCGCACAGCCCAGGTCAGGGTCTGGGCTGCTGCACCACTGGCTGCAGTGTAGACATGCTTGGAGAAAACCGCCCTCAAGTATTTGGGGGAGTATTTAAGTTCTCCTGTGGGCCAGTCCTGAGGGAAGGGCTTTGGTGGCAGAGTCAGCCACATCTTCCCATTGCTCATGGCCAAGCGCCCACCCTCTCCTGACCTCACTGCCCTCAGGCGGGAAGCCCTAAGCTGCAGCCCAAAGAGGCCACAGGTCCAGTTCCATCCTGGCCCAATCCACTGCCACCTGGGATTTGTATTGGCACATGGTGGCTCACGAGAGGCACCCGGAGGCTCCGCCCGGCCTGTGCAGGGCATCTTGTTACTCTCTTTGGACTTTCTGGGGCACATTCAACACCGCAACCAACCAACCTGCAGCATCGAGTCTCAGTGCTCGGGTCAGCTGATTCGGGCTTGCGCTACTGGGCTAAAAATCAGCAGCACAGACCTTTCTGCTTGGGCTGAAGCCCAGGGTCTGGAACTCAGCAAGAGGGGAAGGTCTCTGAGCTGGTGGCTATTTTTAGCCAAGCTGTGCCAGCCTGAGTCAGCTGACCTGAGCTCGGCGACTCGCTGCCGCAGGGTGGGGTGTTTTGTTTCTTGTTTTTGCAGGGTCGATGCACCCACGGTGATATTTACGAACGTACAAGGGGCGAACTTCTGGTGACATGACTGAATGAGGCTTACGGCTGAGGTCCAACCCTGCGATACGCAACCCCCAGGAATCAGAGATGCCACGCTGTTGTGCTGTCCGTTTGCAGCTTTGGAACACTGTGTGTCCAAACAAAGCCCCTCTCCAAAGGGCAACACGCTTCCAACTGCGGCTCAGTGACTGTACAAGGGGATGAGAAGAGATGAAAAGGTGCGGAAGCCGCCTGAGGAACAGAGGTGCACAGGACAGCTTGATGCTGCCAGTGAGAGAAAGGGAAGGAAGCCAAGAGATTTCGCAGAGAAGCCAGAGCATTTGCTGGAAGATGCTGAAAGCGCAAGAGCTTTTCAAGACATTTACAAAGTGCGTCCAAAAATCAAGTGCTGGAACAGAGACCTGGACAGGACCTTTCCATCTAGTCAAGTCTGCGATAAGAATGTCGAACAATCACAAGGCAACAATAAACCTTCCTCCGTTTGCTTCTCCTGCAGAAAAAACTAATAATTTGTGCCACCGTCCCCAATCCACCTTTCAATATCCCCACCCAAGCACCCTCGCATGATTCCTGCCTAATTCCTCAACCCCCCCGTGTTGTTCTGTGTCTCATTGCAGATGCTGGTGCCGTTCACTTTGCTGTAAGAATGTTTCAAGCACTATCCTCCAAGTCTTCAGTCAAAGGCTGTGTTTTGAAACAGGCCTTTAATGTTTACAGTGTCAATGAACAGGGAATGATGAAGTATCTTCGATGGATATTCGTTTTAATGGACAATTCACTTGTAGGCCTTAAAGAAAAAAAGGTATCCGGGTAAACACAGATCCAGAAACTTTAAAAATGTGTAATTACTGGCTCTTTGTGAAGTTTGATCGCTATTAGGCTGAGTAAATCTCTCTGAAAATGAGGCCACTCCCAATGGCATCACCCCCTCACGGGGAATTGTTCAAAGCACAGTCAAGAGAAGGGCATTCAGCACAAAGAAAACTGACACACAAGCCAAGCAAGTTCCATGTTTAAACAGCTAAAATAACCGCTCTAAAAGTCGCGTGTTTGCTGCAGTCACACAGCAATGCGCAAATAGCAAAAATTTATTTTTCCACTGAAAACTTTTGACAGGTTTTTTTGGCAGTACCCCGACTGGCAGAGCATTTATTCACGTGCTTCACTTACCCAGAAGCAGTCGTCTCGATAACTTTGGCAGGACTAGTGGGTCTATATGGAAGCACCTTACCTTGTCACAGGTTTAATGGTTCCAAACCCTGCAACGTTCCCCAAACGAATGATAAAACCCGCCCCACCCACTGTGTTAAAAAATATGAATTCTTACCAGATTTCCCTGTGTTCTTCTAATTTGGTTTTAAATTAATAAATATGCACAAATGCAATCGACTTTCAGATGTCAAATACTGCAGCAGCCTTATAGCCCATCTGCTCAGACTATATTGGGAGACTGTACTTTGAGGCCAGAAATGAATATCTTCTCTCTGAAACGCCAACAAACCTGAGCTTTTCTAATTAAAGCCAAGTCATTAACAGACTGCTTTCCTGAAATGCCAGCTTTAGAGTCAATAGTCTGGTTTGTACTGTGCAGCTGAGGTTGAAAAAAAACACCAAGGAAGATGCCAATCCCACTATAAGCTGCAACATTTTACAATATAGAAGCCGGAGGTGTGTGTGCAGTCAGTCAATTACACTACAGCGCAAGAACAGAAAAAGTAGGAAGTCCAATACAAAGAAATCACTTGGTCAAATTCATGTCTTATAGTACAATGCCTATTGGCTAAGAACTGTAAATACACACACACACACACACACACACACACACACACACACACACACACACACACCCTGCTCCACCCCAGTGGTAAAAGTGTGGAGAGCCTCAAAGGCCCTAAACACACACGTGCATTTGTGCCAAGCCCAGGTTGGTGAAGTGTAGCTCCTTATCACTAATGCTATGGGCATGCACAGCACTTTTAAAAACATGCAGGAGAATAAAGTCTATTCCGAAGAAGTTCCAGCCACACATGTTGGGGTGAGTTGGCCAGTAGCTTATAAGTTAACATGTGTTTGCAATAAAGCCACACACAGCTCCTGTTTTAATCCTAACCACCCTCAGGAGAAAATTATCGGCCAGCTGCCCATTTCTGCTGCTCTGTGAACATCTCATGGGAGTAAATGGAACATCCTGGTTTTTAGCTACACAGCGCTAGCATGATCATTGTGGGGCACCTTCATCTGGGGGTTTCCCGCAGCTCTGCTGAGATGTGCTGGTGCCACGCTAGCAGGTCACTGGCATGAAACCGAAATAGTTACTCGGGGAAGGAATGAATCAGCCTGACCGAAGGATCAGGCAGCTTTTATGCACATGCTGAACTTGCTTCTATCCCGCTAAAATCCAACAAACTTGAACCTGTGCTTGAATTGGAGCCCTAAACTTCCAGGAGGTGATAATGAATGTGTTTGGAAAAGAAACCTACAAGCGGCAGCACCACTTAGATCCGCTTTGTCTGCTTTTAGCCGCAGCAGAACCCTCTCCTCCAAAATTTTCTAGGGTACGTCTAGAGTACATGGCTCCGTCGACGGAGCCATGTAAAGTAGTTTACTCGACATAGTCCACGAAGCGGGGATTTAAATAATCCCCGCTTCATTAAAATAAAAATGGCTGCCACGCTGTGCCGACAATCAGCTGATCTGGCACAGCGCGGCAGGCTAGATGCGCGGCAGACTAGACGCGGCGCGGTCGGCAAGGGAAGCCTTTGTCAACTGCTCTGTAAACCTCGTTTCACGAGGCATCCCGGAGCGGTCGACAAAGGCTTCCCTTGCCGACCGCGCCGCGTCTAGACTCCCGTGCTGTGCCGGGTCAGCTGATTGATGGCACAGCATGGCGGCCATTTTTATTTTAATGACGCAGGGATTATTTAAATCCCCTCTTCGTGGACTATGTCGAGTAAACGACTTTACATGGCTCCTTTGACGGAGCCACGGAGTCTAGATGCACCCCTAGTGACTGCAAGGAAGGGGAAGGCTGGTCATCAGAGGAACTGTGGCAGAGAGCACCCCCAGCATCTAGAGAAGCGGAAACTTCTTTGAAACACGATAAAGCCGGTTGTAGCTGCTGTGTCCAGAGACGACTCCGTGTTTGCCTGCGAACTCACGCCTACCCCCCCCAACCTGCGAGTGGATGGTGGGAACTCTCTGTACAGTACGGCTTCTTACCTTTCTATTCCCTCCTCCAGGCATGTGGCTGATGTTGTCTAGTGACCCAATTTTCGATTGCACCTTCTCTTTGAAGTCCAGTTTCTCCGATTTCACCTCCACCTGGCCGCCGCCTGGAAGAGAAAGCAGAGCGGGGCTAACCGCTGCCAGAGAACGAAAGCCAGGTTTCTCAAGTCAAGCAGCTTTGATCCACTGTCTGACTGTCTAGGGTCGTCACGCTTGGGCCCCGAGATGTCCTGGCAGGTGGGGGATAGACAAAATGACGAATCTTAAATGCACAGACCCTTGGTGTTCCAAGCCACACAGGCCCGGCTAGAGCTCTCTTCTCTGCCAGGGCGACCAAAGGTCCTGATTTTATAGGGACAAACCAGGTATTCAGGGGTTTTATGTAAGGATGCCCATTCCCATACCAGTTTCTCTCTGTCACTCTCTGATCCCTGTATCTTCAGCCCAGCCTCTCTGCTCTGTATCGCTCTCCCTTGGCTTGGTATGTTTAAAATTTAGGTTATAAACTCTTAGGAGAAAGCACCTGGGATCTCAGGCATAACGAAGTCAGACAATACCTGGTTTATGATGAATGTTGACCAAGGAACCACATTTGGAGGTCACATGGCTCAGATCTACAGGCTTGTAAACAATTTGCACCTGTTCATATCAAAAAAGAAAGGAAAAGAATACCCAAGTTTTAGCATCCCAGAGTAGTAAAAAAGAAAAAAATACACTGGGATGTGCTTTGGATTTGAGACAAAGTGAAGTTTAAAACCCGTAAGAGCAATTACAGAAGAACTTGCCACCAGAAACCATGAAATCATTAAAGCATGTGTGTAGCAGCCTCTCCACAATCAACATGTTTGCATGCACAAGTTTATCATCATTTCTCCAAAGGAAGGGGAAAGCAAAGGCAGTTTAAAGTGATTCAGTGAGATGGAAAAAGTGGAATTTCATATACAGATCAACCAAAAAAAAAAAAAAAAAAAAAAAAAAGATTACTAAAGAGAAATGTTTAAAAAATAAATACCTTTTCTGATGTAAAACTTAAAGTTTATGTCCACAAAAACTGAAAGAACAGAAATGATCAATGTGCATAGAATAAGTGACTGAAATAGGTGTTTCTGAAAAATGCTGTAATGGAATTAAAGTTTTTCTTTAAAACTTAATGAGTTTAAAATAAATGAGTCACAAAGTGATCATTCTAAGACACAAAACCACAGTATTATACCATAGGACAGTGGTTCTCAACCAGAGGTCTGGGGCCCCCTAAAGGGTCGTTGGCAGGTTTCAGGGAGTCAACCAAACACAACCAGCAAGTAGATTCGCCGGGCTTAAGGCCAAATGTGAAAGCATCACTGTATAAGCCACACACCTAGTGTGGTTCACACTCTCATGCAGTGCCTCTTAGACCTCTTACAGTAACAGATAAGAAAGAGACCTCTACAGTCTAGGCTGAGCACCACCTGACTTTATAGCTCAAGCTGTAGCAGCTCCCATACTGAGCTCCAGAGGTCCCAGGTTCAAATCCAGTTGGAGGATTTTACAACTGCATAATGCTGAATCCTGAGCAACATCGCTCTGGGGGGCCCTGGCGATGTGGGGTCCGAGGCAAGTGCCCTGCTGCTACCCACAAGGCCAGCCCTGGCTTTTATATGCAGAAAACCAGTAATTGTGGTACAGCTGGGCCAGGGAGTTTGTATAGCATGTTGGGGAGGCTCAGAAAGACCATGGTTGAGATCCCCTGCAATTGGAATGACGATGCCTTAAAATTTTTTTTGCATGCCTGAATGTGTGCACCTACCTAATCATTTCATTTCCACAGTGCCACTTAAACCATCCAGTTCAAAGTTCTGTCATCATATGACACTAAGTGCTTGGAATCTTTTTGGGGGGGAGGGGGAAGAGAAGGAGGGGACATGTGGGTAACATCCTTTGGAAACATTTAAACTGGTTGCACAAGACAGCAGTGTTGCAACACAACACAGCAGGGACAGTTCAAGTAACTCCGGGTTTGGAGTTGTAAGGAAGAACACACTGGAAGACACTAAACAATTTGATTATTGAGTCTCGAAAGGCCTGGGAGACCCAGACATACCAGGGATATAAACAAAGACACACCCCAGCAACATCAGTAGCAGAAACCAGGAGGGAAACATGCCCCTATATCCCTGAGAGTTAAAGCCAGATGGTAACACTACAGTGGCTGCAACCCTCCTTTATTTTGGTGTGGTTCCACAGAGCGCTCATTCCACATGCAAGGGAGAGAGAAACTAGAGTGAAGAGAAACCTGGGAGTCAGCAACAGAGAGGAGAGAGTCGGGAACGGAGACAGACACAGGGAAATTGCTCTTTCAATCCACACAAGAGGCAAGAAAAAGGGTGACACAAAGAACCACAATAACACCCCGTTCGCTGTATCCACAGCTTCCCCACACTGGCGAGCAAGAAGTCTCCAACACCTTTGAGGAACATCAAGCAGCAACCAAATAAAAAAAATACAAGCCAGAATGAAGCGTCTTGAGCTCTGGTGTCTAAAGCGCCTTCCATCTTCAAAGCAGCTGGCAAATGGTCATTCTCTAGCCTCCCCTCCAAACTCTTCACAGACCAGGGGCTTAGCGAGGAAGGGCGGGAGGGGCAGCTGCCCCGGGTGCCATGCTGGGGGGGTGCCAATTTAGTCCCCTCCGCTCCCCGTCATTCCTCTGCTCCTCTGCTCTTCCTCCGCCCACCGTTGCTGGCTGGGGCCTCCTCCCCACCTCTCTGCCCCCAGCCCCACCCTCCTCCATCTCTGCCAGCTGGGTAGTGTGTGCAGGGGCCTGGGAAGATGTGGTACAAGTTCCCCCCACTCCTCCTCCCGGGCTGGGCTCAGCTGTGCACCAGGTTTGGGGCCCTGCCACGCGACCGGAGAGGAGGGGGAGGGCACAAATTTTGCTTTTACCCCCAGGCGCATAACACCCTCACTATGCCTCGGTCACAGACCTCAATCCACTAACCCTCATGAGCCTCCTGAAGGCAGAGAAAAGCCAACCCCGTTCCAGAGAGGAGGCTACAGAGGGACAAAGCAAGATGCCAGAGGGGAGCCAGGCCAGAGCCCGGATTAGAACGCAGAAGTTCCTGGCTCCCGGTGCAATGCTCCGACCGCCCTGTCCCTAAGGTCTCTCTCTGGCGGAGCAGAAAAAAGAGGTCTCCCTGGATTACCAGAGGATGCCCTAAAGGCTCTGTGCCTAATGTTTCTTTAAAAAAAAATGTTGCTATAGCAACAGCTCATTCCCCATTTACTTGTAGAATAGTAGTAGAGATGTAGCTGTGTTAGTCTAGTCGAAACAAAAAAACAGGACTATGCAGCATTTTAAAGACTAAGATGGTTTATTAGGTGATGAGCTTTCGTGGGCCAGACCCACTTCCTCAGATCAAATTGTGGAAGAAAATAGGCATGACCATATATACCAAAGGGATACAATCAAAAAAAGTGAACACATATAAAAAGGACAAAAATCCCTTTTTTTGATTGTATCCCTTTGGTATATATGGTCATGCCTATTTTCTTCCACAATTTGATCTGAGGAAGTGGGTCTGGCCCACGGAAGCTCATCATCTAATAAACCATCTTAGTCTTTAAAGTGCTACATAGTCCTGTTTTTTGTCCCATTTACTTGTGTCTTACTGGCAAGAACATTCACTTGCCCGTTCTAGAGTGAATCAGCGGCAAGCGCACACTCCTGGGCTGGCTTCCCAAAGCGCGCACAGCAGCACCGTGGATGCCGGGTACAAATCAGGCCGCGTGGGGTGTGGTGCTGAGGGAGCACAACTCCCCTCCTCCTCCTCCCGCCAGCAGGAAACTGGCTTCAACAGGCCAATTCACGTGGGATGAGCCAGTTTTTCTGGTGGCTAACTAAACAGGGTAACCACCTCACAACCTGACGTCATGGCTGCGTCGCCTGCTTGTTTGCAAACACTGAAAGGACAGGCCCTCCTCGCGCCCAGCTCCAGCGGGGAGGGAGGGGAACCACAGAGGGGAGAACACAAAAGGAAGTCGATTGGTTTGAAAAGGCCGAAGGCTGCTGCCGCGTGGACACAACTCCAGATGCCGGTCACCCATCTCTGAGCCGGTGCTCTTCACCATTTCTGAGATACTCTTCCCTGTGGCCCTGTCACCTTCTTGCCTTATCCACCCGGAGCCCAACTGCTCCTTCAGTCTTAGTGATGCAAATCCATTAAGTTACTCCAGAGTTTTGGCAGCAACTGGAAGCTCAATGTGGGTTCACATGGGGAGGCAGAAACTGGGTTTAATGTACAGACAACACTGCCCAAAACGTGGCCTATATAAAGCCGCATCATGCTCCGCCTAGGCACCCTGCCTCCGACTGCAGTGTGAAGACACAGCAGATCAATCGCCTACTGATTTAACAGCTGGTGAACTCACTCCACATGTAGTTTTGGGGAGTTTTTCCCTTCACCGTCCATACGAGGGCAGGGTGTGTGTTTTTAAACTGAGAGAGCTTCTACCAAGCTGCCAGCATCACTATATGGATGACAGCTTAAACGGGCAAGCTCCCATGTGCATATCAGCGAACCCAGCGACACTCCGCCATCCGTCCTCCTAGGTCACTGCATGAAGCATGCTGGAGACAAGGTGATGCGCGTATCATCCATTACCTGAGTTTGGATGCAACCTTGGGCCAGTGACTGGGTCATTTACGTGTTTTATGTGGTGTTGCAATTGTACATGGCACTTGACAGAACAATGGGACTTCAGTTTGTCTGCACTTCCTACCTGTAGCAATGCCTGGCACATAGAGAGTATTAGGGTACGTCTAGATTACATGCCTCTGTCGCCAGAGGCATGTAGATTAGGCTACCAGACATAGGAAAATGAAGCGGCGATTTAAATAATCGCCGCTTCATTTAAATTTACATGGCTGCCGCGCTGAGCCGACAAACAGCTGATCAG